AAACTAACGCTTCGCGATAAAAAACGGGATTCAAAATGGATGCTTGCAAATGTTACTTGTAAACATTACGAGCCCGAATCTGCCGAAGACAAGTCCGGACCCCCCCTCCCCCAGAATTTTTTTTACGGATTTGGAACAATATAAATTAGGTCCATTTTGACTGGAAAAAAAGCGGAATTCCGCCAAAACGCGGAAAAATCTCATCCCTGCATTTTATATTGACTGTACTTGAAAAGGGTCTGAAAGGGTCTGAAAAGGCCATTTTCTGAAAAGGTCATTTTCAGACCCTTTTCAAGTACAGTCAATATAAAATGAGGAGCTGGGATTAAATGTGTGGCATCTGAAAAGACTTCTAAATACGTCTTTGGGAGTGAATGAGTTTTAATAGATTTTGAGAGGTTTAAACTCACACATTTATATTCATCCACATTGTATTTAGGGTGTTATATTCCTTAGTTGTGTCATATTTGCACTACACACCTACTACTAAAACTTGAAAATAGCTACCTATGGACATCTTGTAACTGTTTGATCTTCTTGACCACATGATAGCTCCACAGAGCAAATGAAGCACCATGAAGCTTTGAACCATGGGCAAACCAACTGGCTGGAAAGCTTCAGTGCTTCACAACGCTAATTTCCCCATCACTCGTTTTCATTGTATCCACTAAAGTAGACAGTTTGTGATCACATGATCAGTGTTTTTGGTCCACCATGTTGGCAGTTAAGATCAAAAAGATTCTCGATTCAAACGCTCAGTAAGCACCAGAAGAAAAACAATGAGTCAACCTCCAATTGTGGTGTGTGACATCATGGGAAAACGATACAGTAAACTTCCCTCGAAAACAGATTCCAGGTTTGTGGTCCTGCTATTCACAGACTGTGTGTGTAGAGTTAATATAATTTCATTCATTTTTTTTATTTTTTATTATTTGATATGAACTGTAATTCCACTTTCAACAACTTTATGGTGTATAATGTGAGATAAGTTAATTTTGTTAGTTTGGAAAAAAAGAGGATCTGTTCCTTGAAACACAGAGAAGGAGCAGTAGGCTGTACAATATTTATGTGCTAACCATTGCTCTTTGACACTGTCAACATGCGCCCTCCTGAGGCTAAACAGTTCAGATAATAGATCCTTGATAATAAAAGTGTCTTTAAATACATTAATAAAAAGGTTTTGTAAACGACATAGAAACACACCGATAGAATATTTAAATAGTGTGTTTCTGTATCGCTGATGTCACTTATTGCGGGGTGGTCTGTTATGTAACCCCCCTCAATGTAAGGGGATTATTAAACAGTATTGTGCTGTTAATGCCAACAGACATTCAAAAAATATTTTCATGGCCTATGATTTAACCATATTCTTATCACAACAAAATCATGTAATCTTTGCACGATACTGTATCTTTTTTCTCTACACCTGACCCTTTGTATCACTACCATCTAAAGGGGTTCAATTTGCTGTTTTTTTTTTTTAAGAATGTATGTAAATGTGCCATTGTGTTGATGTGGGTAGTATAAATTCCCGAGCCAATAACTTTTAATGATGTATATTTTTAAACTGTATAAAAGTGGGCAAAGCAAGTTGCTAAACTTACATTAAAACTTAATCAATCGATGTAACTTGACGCCCAGTGATCTGAGACAATTGTATGTGGATGAACTTTGCTAAAACCAGTGGAGCGAAAGTAGTTTTGTTTGAGCAACGCCACTGCATTACAATTATGAACATATGTCCCGTTTTCGCCCAAAATGTACTTTACTTGCGGCACCATTGAAAAATAACGTCTTTACATTAGCGTCAGGGTCCCATTTCCTTACCTTTTGGCAAACAATTAAAGACTGTCGCTGTTTCTCCTCTTGACTTAAGAGTGCGACCCGACGCTTTATTTCTTTTCTAAGCGCTTGTTTAGCTACTCGTGTAGCGGCCATTCTGCCTCTCGAGATTGAGTGCAAAGTCTACTTTATCTATGCTTCGGATGTCTGAACCAGAACTGATTTCCACATCCGTTGCGCCATTGCCTTATTAAATATTAACTGCAATGCATGTGACAGGGGAGCAAACTTTACTGTCCGAGTCGCTCTGCAATACGCAACCTCCGGCTTGTGGACTTGTAGCCACAGACATAAAATACAGAGATCCCTCATTTAGTGGTGAGCCCGTTGCCACCGTACGTCAGGGCTTTCGCCTTGTTGAATGTGACCAAGGCTGGATGGTGTGGTGTTGCACTCGCTTGACTTGCTCGCCGTCAGCGTGGGATCGTTTCCTACTCCTGCTGACGGCGTGGGTGTAATTGATTGTTTGTCTCTACATGTGACTCGTGACTGACTGCCGACCAGTTGAGGGTGTAGTGTGCCTTCTGCCTGAAGTCAGCTGGGATTGGTTCCAGCACGCCCGCAAACCTTGCGGATGAGAAAATGGATGGGTGAATGATTGTCCCTCAGATCCTTCTGACATCTAAAAATATTGTTAGAACAACTTGATGATTTATTTATGATGATTTTCTCTTGTAATCGGCCTATTATTTTGTGCAGGTTGAGGCTTCCCATGGGATATTATGGTAGAGCATCATCAGTAGTTGTTTCTGGCATCCCTATCCGTCGGCCCATGGGCCAGATGCTCCCAGACTTTTTCTTCAGTTTACGAATGGTTGGGTGATGCCGGGGGTAGGCGGGATGGGAGCGGGGGTAAGGGGATAGGATTGCATGTGGCTTGACTTATACATAGGGGGGGGCTGAGGTTTACTTTATTCATATGTATTTACCCAAATTTGGCAAAAGAATATTCAACTAAATAGTTAAGCCAAGGGAGGCATGATGGTCGACTGGTTGGCATGCCTGCCTCACAGTGCAGAGGTGCAAGGTTCGATTCTGGCGCCGGCCTTCTGGTGTGGAGTTTGCATGTTCTCCCGGTGCCTGCATGGGTTTTCTCAGGGTACTCCGGTCTCCTCCCACATTTCTGAATGGCAGGTTAATGGAACACTGTCAACTGTCCCTAGTTGTGATTGTGAGCGCAAATGGTTGTTTGTCAACGTGTGCCCTGCGAATGGCTGGCAACCAGTTCAGGGCGTATCCTGCCGACTGCCCGAAGACAGCTAGGACAGGCTCCAGCACGCCTTGTGACCCTTGTGAGGATAGAAAATGAAAATGAATGGATAGATGAATAATTAAGCCTAATACAAGTGTCCAAAGGGAAATGGCAAAAATGTTTCATGAAGGTAACAGATACAGCAAAGGACAATGCCCATCTTCCTGCCATAAAACAGACAATTCATCCAAAATGTGTCAGTGCGTTTATGATTCATATGCAATATTTAATAAAAGCAAGCAAACATGCACTGGCAATATTGTTTCATATCACAATATAATAACTTAGAAATGGGGTGATTAATAATATACTGTATGCAGTAGTGCAAACAGCTTGTGTCTCATGATTTGGATCTCAACACACTAAATTAAGAAATTAAATTGAAAAAAAATGATGTCCATTTGTAATGTAAAATTTATATTAACATGCTGCAAAAGGGGGCTTTAGAGCAGCAAACAGCGATTGCTCTGGTGCTCCTTCATGACCTGACTCTTATTACGAATGGGTTCATGATCACAAAACAATCCATTCCTGCAATGGCCAATGGGCTCGCTACCCTTAACTTAATGTGCAAGTAAAAGTGCTCACAATCACACCTTGGGACAATTTAGAATGTTCCATTACCCTGCTATTCTGGAACGTGGGAGGAGACCGGAGTATCCAGAGAAAACCCACACAGGCATGGGGAGAACATAACTCCACACAAGAAGGCCGGGCAGGAACAAACCCCGGACCTCTGCTCTGTGAGGCGAACGTGATAACCAGTAAACCACCATGGCACCCTTTTTCTGTGTTCAAACTATTCACATTTGACAGCCTGAAATCATAAGATTTGGACTTTAAGATAAAAACTTTTAACTTTCCACCTTTCCATTTTGTGATCAATAAGCTTGCTGATTTTTGTGTGTGTTAAATGTTTCCATTGGGCATTTGATTATATAGCTACTTTGTTGCCATTGTGTTTTAACTAAGCCAGAGTTTGACAGTTTGGCTGTTTAGTTCTCTTACCACTATGAATAACCTTTATGCTCAGTTTCGCTATTGATCAATTCATTATCGAACTACTTTGCTTCTGAAATGTTTGCACCCCTGCATTTGGGTTTTCTGCATAAAGAGCACTGAAATGTTTAAATTACATTTAATGCAATTTTATTAATCTGTTTCATATTCAGTGATTTACATCAACAATTTAATTAATGAGAATAATGATCACTGATCTTGATGTGATGTTATAATGGAAAAGTACAATCAAAAGCAATTGTTCAGCTTAATGGCTTTGTCAGTCTGAAAATACACATCTCCAAGAAGCAAATTAATGAGCCATCCTCACCCGTTGCTTCGCTTTGCCACATCAAATATGGCGGCAATGTCAGCGCACGATATTGTGCTCAAAGCAACTTTGCGTAAGGTGTGCACTACAATGACGCATGACTCAAACGTCAGCAGCCACGAGGAAGTGAAATTCGAAATGCTTTTGGAAGTGCACGTTACAATTCAGGACGAGCAGATTACATAGCAGCGTACTGCTGTTGCAACGTTATCTTTAGCTTTAATATTTTCCAGCTAACCATCATTAAAATAAAACGCCTTTGAAAACAAATAAGTAAACATTAAATAGCTTCTTTCTCTTTCAACCGCAACAATGCATTAAACACATGGACGCGTATTTTAATGTATACTTAAACATAGTGGAAAATTATTCATGCACAACCCTTACATTATACATTTATCTTGACATATATTACTTTAATGCGAATGGTAGGAATTGCTTAGTCATCCCCCAAACTGGTTTAAATTAACTTCTGAGTGCCCAAAGTTAGGGTGGATCCCATTGACTGCCTGTGATTGGATGTGCCGTCGCAGGCGGGTCTGTCCAAAGGCTGCAACATCTGCAAACTCTCACAGATGTTGTCCACTCAATAACTCACTTAGGTTTAACTTGGAACACGACCTCTGGAGAGAAAATGTCTTTTGTAAACGTAGATCCAGCATCTGATTTCTCTTTCCACAACCTACCGTATGGCGTATTCTCCACATTGGACAATGTAAGTGCTTTTGGTTTTTGTTCTGTGAACTGTCATTTAACAAGAAAGGACCAGGTATGGTTTTCATCACAGTATTTTCTTTCTTGCCTGATTAGTTTTAGTTGTAGAAGCATACTAAAATGTGAGAATGAACCCTAAAGGAATCAAATAAATAATTAGAAAATTCTTATGTCCTCAGCCCAAACGTCGCATTGGGGTCGCCATTGGAGACCAGATTCTGGACCTGAGTGTGATACTATCACTGTTTCAAGGACCCGTGATGGCCAAACATCAGGATGTCTTTCAACAGGTAGTGTAGTTGTTTTGCATTGTGAGAGATCGTATTTTCCTCAATAAGGCTCTCGGATTTGCCAGAGGATTACCAGTGTCAAGTTGAATCAGTATTACTCTTACTTTTAAAAGTTTAACAATGATATGATCCACATTTTTCAAAAACAATGTTGATTTGGGAACTAGTACGTATAATTACCAGTGCTATCCTATAGAGCAGGGGTCCCCAACCGCCGGTCCGCGGGACCGGCAGGGGGCCGCAGGCGCTTTGG